TTATACAGAAATATTTTATATGTACGGATAGGGATTTTCTGTGTTTGTTGATTTGATCAATAGCTACTGTTGCTTATAACTTGTGTATCCTTGTGTATATATAGTTTGTTGATATAATATGTAGTTTGTGACTTTTCTTTTATATGATATTTTTGAATATTGTGATATTAGTCAGTTGGATAAACTGATGTGTAGATTAGGGCTTGAAGGAAGTATATTATTCCTTTAGTCTTTTATATACTCCTATGGTGGAAGTATCAGTATTTCACCTAGAGTTTTTCCCTTTTAAAGGAGGTTTTGTACTTCTTTAAGGGCTTCTGGACAAGTGGTAATGGTAACTGGACGTTACCCTTGTTCTTGTTCGGGTTGTTGTTTGTCTTATATCACAATGTTATATTTCAATGTATTTATTGAACAGTGTTTTTAGTTGCTTTTTTTTCTGTTTGTCTTTTTGCAAATTAAAGCTACACGCCTTCAGATGTTCCATATAACTTCTTAAAAATCAATCTTAGGTTAGTAGATTGTTGATGGTTATAATTTTCCTTTTTTGTGGGTCTTTACTGCAAAGGGATTCTGAAGGCTTGTTGTTTTAATGTTTGTATGTATACTTGTTTATATTTATGTATAGATGTTCTAATGTTTGTATATGTTACGCTTTAATTGTTGTTTTGCTTAAATTTTGCTCTTTTTTTTGGGCTGGGAGTTGTCGGATTTGTTGTATTTCATACTAGTTGTTTAAGCAGTTATAGGTCACTGTAACATTATTCCGTAATAGGATTTGATACATCAGGTGACTTTCTGTTCTAATGGAATTATCTTATCTAGTTGAGTTTAATAAGATATTCATTGAGTGAATTAATTATTATCATGCTTTTGTGTTTAACGTGTCTGCTTGCTCTATTAAAAATTATTATTATTTATTATTGTGTTTCTGGTTATGACATAATTTAATTGTCTACTGGATCTAACACAAAAACAAGTCTTGCTTCTTATATCCGTTTTCATGTGAATGTGATCACCGTGAATATCCCGTAAGAAATAATGCAAATAACGTCGAATCTGTGCAATATTTGGCCGTAGGCCTATCAAGCATACTGTAGTAAATTGAACTTACATATTGAATTAACGCATAATTATGGCTGTTAATTAAAACATTTTTAACCCGCATTCAAAAATCTCAGTTTCTTAAGCTTTTAAGTTAGTTTCATTGCACGCCTCCATATTTCAAGAAAATCAATATTGAGAAAAATGCACTAAACTTTTAAGAAAGATAAAAACATTCAAGATCTAAGTTATATTTTACATGTTATGTGCGGTTTAAGACTGATTTTGTAGTATTTTATCACCATATTTCTACTGCGTTACAAACGCAATAATGCTTTTGCTTTTTGGCCCCAAAATTTTTTTTAAATTTTTTCGGGGTTTTGTAATGCGATAGAAAATATTTAATTTAACTTTTTTAAATTTTTCCCCTTTTTAAATCCCTTTTCCCCAAAAATTCCCCCTAAAAATTAAAACATAATCGGAGGCTTTCTTTTAAAAAAAAAATACCTTATTTTGGTAAACCCCCCTTTTTCCAATTTCAAAAATAAAATAAGAAAAGTTTTGACAAATTTTAACATTAGTAATCGCAGGGCTGATCTGTGACACACGCCAAAATAAACCGCTTCTTTTGTTATCATTGGGTTAATAAATCTGTTTGACGTCAGGGAAAACCCTCTTTTGACATTTTTGACGTCATTTGTATCTAATTATAGTAATATATGAGATTCACCTGAGGTTCAGTCATCAGAGCGTGTCAACAAAAGTAAACACAGTTAAAATTGTGGTTAACTTGTCCTTTAAATATTATTTTTAAAATTTATCTGTATTTAAACTTAACGTATAAAATGTTGAAAAATTAGTTTTAAATTTTTGTTTTTAAATTGTCCTTTGCTTTTCCGAAAATTAAAGAGGGGAAAAATATTCCCGAAAAAAAATATGGGGAAAGCAGGAAAAATGATAAAGTTTTAGAGGTTTTAAAAGGAAGCGATTCGGATATGGAGCTAGGGAATTGAGGGGGGTTTACACCCCGGGTGCGATGAAATTGAAACCCTTTGATGGAAAAAAGACCATTTAGTTTTTCCCAAAAAATTCTTATTGTGACAAATGTTAAATGCCCAGTGTATTTAAAAGAAAATTTTCAAAGGTGAGATATATTTTTTAAAATTAAACTTCTGACTAAACGGGTTTTGATAATGTGTAAAAGTAGTCATAAAATAAGAAAGATTTATATAACACACTTCTTACTTTAGCTTATAAAGCTCGAGTTCATAAAACCAAGTCAATATTCATGTAATAACTAATTTAAGTCTTGGGCAGATACCAGGGTTTCCTCACCAGTAATGAGTAAATGACACACTGTGGATTGTGGAAGTTATAGAATCTCAGCATCAGAAATTCCAATCCTCAGCCTCCAGATTAGGACTAAGAGTTGGACGTCATCGTATTTAGCACCAGTTTGGCCCTGTGGAAAATTAGTTCGGGCCAGTGAAAATTAGTTTTGGGCCAGTGTAAATTTTAAGAAAATTTAGTTAAGTATATAGTAGAATAAATTCAAAACTGGACTTCGGGCCATTAAATTCAAAATCTTAAATATAATAACTGAAAAATAAATTTTTAAAGAAACAGGCATTTTTCCTTTGATTTGATATATATAACAGTGAAATTGGAGGCTTAAAGTCAAAGAAAATAGAATTGATGCTTAACAACTTATTTTTAAACATTAGTGCTAAGTTTGTTCCTGATTTTGATAAATTGAAATATTTTCAAATGGAATTTTTGAAAACATTAATGAATAGAAATTTCAGCTTTAAAACAGTTATCAACGATTTCAAAATAAGCAAAATTTTGGCAAAATTACTGGGCAGAACATTTTTGAAATATGAGAGAATCCTTAATCAGTATAAGTTCATGTCATAAGTAGGGACACCCACCCCCACTTTGAGAAAGACAGTAACTCTCACTGACCTGATAAGGGGATAGAAATATATTCATATTATAATTGTTATTTAACTTTATTTAATTTATAATAATAATAGTAGGCATAACTTTTATAGTCTAGATACTAAATCAATTTTTTTCATGTCCTGAATGATACTATTTGACATCAGTTTGTTTTTATCCAGAGTAATAACTACATCTACATTGAAATGATTTTTTTTGTGTCATCATTGAAATTTCAATTAAAATTTTCCCAATTTCAAAATTGTTTTTGGAATTTGGGGAATTTGGGGGATCTTAACCTCAGTTTTTCCCCCAGGGGTTTTGAAAAGTCCCCCTTTAAAGCCCCGGGGGGGGGGGGGGCTGTGGGCTATTTTTTAGAAACCTTTGTAGCGTCATTTTGAATTTTAAATATAGTTTATATAAAGGTTGTGTCATTTTTTAAGAAAATTTAAAAAAAAGAATTTTGCGGGAATTATTTTAAAAATTTCCCTGACGGGTTATAGGGCCCAAAGGTTTTTTTTTGCAATAAAATTTTATTGGGGGCCCCATAAAACCCCTGTAAAAAGTCTTTTAATTATTTAATAAAAATAATTTTAAAATTAATTTTCCCTTATTTTTCAGGCTAAATTTTTAAAAAACCTTTTTAAAGTTTATGATAAAGGGCAAAAATTTCAATACAAGATTTTCCCGGGAAAAGGTGGAGAAAATTTTGGGACCTTTTTTTTTTTTTCCCTCCCCCTTTCCCAAAAAAAATTTAAGTTTTCCTTCAGGGGCCCAACTTCTGGGGTTCAAACTTTTAAATGTTTTTCCTTACAAGTAAAGTTCATTTGGTGAATAAAAAATTTTTTTTATAAAAACAGGGGAAATTTTATAACTAGCTTTTAAATTGGGGTAATTTGTATTTTTTTAAATAAAAAACTAAATACAACTGTTTAAAAATTTTTATTTTTAAAAATGTATAAAAAATTTTCCAAATTCAGAAAATCTGTGTGGCCCTTTTTTTCAAAACTATTTTTTAAAGGGTAAAAATGCTCCTCTGGGTCCCATTGAAAGTCCCCGAGGGCTTTTTAAACCCCCAAAACCCGTGAAGGAAATTTAAGAAGCCCGGAAATAAGCCACTCGGCCAAAAACCGACCCCCCCTGAAAGTCTATGAACATTTACCAAAAATATACAGCGATATTTTGGTTTGTTCTATTTTGCTTAGAGAATAATTCATATAACATTAATATGTTATTGATTGGACTATCAGATGCAGACATTTTATGTTGTTCAGTGTTATCTTATGTTTAACACCATTCATTTACCTTTAATAATTAATAATCTTGAAATATGAACAATAGTACATGCAAAAATGCGGAATCTTAAAATGATTTATTGTTGTGATCCATAAACTTAAGATAAACTGTGGTAAAAACCTTTGTGCTTATTTGAACCACTCTCCAGTCTGCTTCCTGAACTAACTGGTACTGGTGTTGAATGAGAACATTGAAGGGCCCTTTAAAAAATGATAACCGGGATGAAGGCAGAATACCTTTAAATATTTGGGATCCCCTGATTATGAAAATGTTGTAAAAATTTAAAACTATGAAAAAGTTGTAAAATTTAAAACTTAACTGTTGTAAATTTTAAACTATGAAAAAATTTTTTTTTGTAAAAAAAATCATTTAACTGTGGGGAAAAAATTTTTTTATGAAAGTGGGTAAAAATTAAAATATGAAATGTGGGAAAAAAATCTTATGAACGTGGGAAAAAATTTTATTGAAATGAAGTGGGGAAAAACAATCTATTACTGTGGAAAATTAATCGAAAAAACTGAAAGTGGAAATAGTTAAAAGCAATATATTCATAAATGGAAAGATATGAAATTTTTCATAGATGTGTAAATTTTTTCAGTTATTTATAAATCGTTGTAAACTGCGATTTTTTATTCTTGATTAAATTTTTATAAATGATTAATTTTTCAGCCAAACTTTATTAAAAGAAAAGTATTAAAACTGATTTTAATTTTTAGCAACACACTTAATAAAGATGATGATGACCCTCATCTAAAGTTGCCTCCACCACACAAACAGTTCCTAATCTCACCACCTGCCTCGCCCCCAGTCGACTGGGAACAAAGCCTCGAATCTAGACCCAAAATAAACTATGACCTTCTTGCAGCCATGGCAGAATTAGCACCAGGTTTGTGTTTTATTATTTTATTTACCCATTCATATGTATATATATATATGTTTATTTGACCATTCATATATGTAGTGGACATGTGCAAAAAGTATAGATGCATAGCAATTATTACCTCCCCTGGCCACCATTTTTAGGGTCATTTCAAGTATATCATATGCTTAAGATAAGATAAAAATCTCTCATAATTATATCATTTGAAAACTCAAAAAATCTTATACTTATTTGTGCTATAATAATATTTTGTATCATAGTTTGGGGACCTTTCTGTTGAAAATGTGTCAGAGTTAAATCGTTTACATATATCGAAACACTCTGCAATTGTCTGATTTATACTTGGGGGTGGGGGAGGGGGGGTGCTATGCACCCTCATAAAAATCAGATAGCCTTGTGTTTTGATGCTCTTTTTATTACTTGCTGAATATCATTTATGTTTAAAAGAATTTGACAATTCACCAGAATCAGTTGTTTATATTTGTTTGGTTTTTTTTTCTTCATATTTTGACAATTATATTGTCAGAAAATGGCTGCCACTTTTGACAAGGGAGGTAAATATTATAAAAATCAAGAACTATCTAAACCTTTGTAAGATGCAGGGGGGTTAACTGTTGCAAAACAAAAAGTTGCGTAATTACAAATGTATGCACTACAAGGATAAAATAAGGACAGCAGAGTGTCAGAGAATTTGAAAAAAAAGAGAATTTTTCAACCAAGAGTTTCGAATACTGTATAATAACTAAATAACTATTGATTTTGCTGCTAATCTGATACTGTTTGCCCTAATTTTGCGACTAAAACATTTTCAAGTTTCTAAGGTATAAGTACTTTTTTGCCACGAAAGACAGAAAAATGGTTAATATAGCTGTAATTTTGTTAAACCTGCCTTTTCGCTAAATAATTGTTATTGTGAAAAATCCTGATTTAACACTTCTCTTTTTATGAACGCTTTAGTGTATTATGAGTTTTGTATGAAAAACTGTGACAGAGGCAAATGTTTTGATTTAACACTTTGTTGTAACATCTGAAGTTCATATAGTCATGTATGTATTTCTGAGTGAAGCCAACAACATTTTTTTTTCTTTAGAAATTGATGGTGCATAGCCTGTCAATGTTATGTTCACGAATGGATTTTGTTCTACAAAGACTTTCACAGCTTTTATACCAAATTTAGACTTCGGGTAAATAAACCCAAGGCTTCTGTCTGTTGTAATTCTGATTTTATTGGATTTCATACTGAATATTTAAATTAAATTAATTATGCAAACTTGCCTTAAGTTACAATGTAGTTATTTTATTTAGTAACCAATCAAATTCTCTTTTACATTGAATCAATTGTCAATACCAGGCAGTATTAATTATCAAAAGCATTGCTGGTTTTTAAACATATTTACAGATATTTGCAAATTACCCTGTAGTTCTGATCTACCATTTCAGTTAATGCTAGAGCTTTTCTGATCAATTCTAAAAATAGATTTTTCTTGCATATTTCACTATTAGTCTTGTCACAGTTATCTCCTATTTTCATCAGAATCAGTTGTTAATGCCCAATTTATTGACTAGTGTTGGAATGTCAGTTAAGTAAATCAGTGGATAAATCTCTTTGTTTCCCAGCAAATGGTTAAATAATGGTAAATTGATCCGTCTCAATAGCTAACAGAATGTCACTGCCATCTTACTGATGTTATGTATGTAAAGCTTTAGTGAAGTCATTGAAATACAAACAGAGTGATATCTTGTCTTTGAATGTTAAAGATTGTCTGATTCTTGTGTGTGTTTGTGTTTAGTTTAGAGATGCTGCATGACATTTTATCCAGAAATAGGGTTTTCTTGATCATGACAGTAACCAAAAAAGAACCTAACTGAGGTTTTCTTTGATATGATGTGACTGAACTTTTTGTGTGACTTTTTTATGTTCCATTCACAGAAGCCCCTGTGCTGAACTGTGACCTTTATATATTACCACATAGGAACACTTTATGTACCTTAATTTATAATTACCGCATGGCAGCGCCTCTGGACGCGTTTACATGTAACTATTACAGCATGGAAGCACCTCTGTGCGCCTCTAAATTTGATTGCAAAATTCAGATATTTCCAAAATGAGGACATTTAAAGTAAATGTGACCCCATTGGAGATACATGTATAATTAACAAGAAGATAATCATGTGATGATTGAATTATTAGTAACAAACATGTTTAAAAATGACCCCATTTCTTTTTGCCCTTGCCCATTTCTATTATATAATCTATATATATTTAGAAGGAGTCAGCTCTCATTATGATTATCGCCAGACATAACAGTAAATGAATTACTGAAATTTCATGCTATATAAATTTAATATTTTATATAAATAATCAGTTAAGAGATAAGAACGTAATAGCCTATGAAATGATACTCATGTGTAATTATTTTAGTGATCTTTATTGTCATGGCTTATCAGCATTGGAATGGTGCAGGAAAATCACTCCTTATCTATGAATACACAAATATATCTGTATGAGGGATTGGTCTCTATCAATAACTTGTGTGCAAAATTTTAGATCATTCATTCTCTATGTTCTTCCAGAATAATTATTTTAATTGTGAAAAATTACTCAATGGTTTTTAAATGCGTTTTGACTGAAATTGTGTATAGAAAAGCAAAACAATATGGTTTTCAATTTAATTCTGAGTATATTTCTGTATTTTAATTTGCATATCTTTCAGTGTCCAAGTTTAACTGTGTATGAAATTCAAATTTTACATTTTTAGACTTTAGACTGCAGTGGTGTTCCTTATAAAGCACAATTTCAAGTAAGATAGGAAAACAAACAAAATGATAGGCCTGATAGTAAATTAGTTAGACGTTAGAGGGCAATACACCTAATTACAAAAAACTGCCCCTTTTAAAAATACTCTCTTTACTGAAGAAAGCTAAGCTTTGACTTTGCTTTCACCTACAGTATTTACTGAAGGTCAGTTTGACCACTAAAGAATATTTCTTGGAGCATAATCATTCATTATGATGTAAATGTATAAATCTGTCGTGTTAATTTATCTTTCGAAGATAATTTGTTTCCAAAAAAGCTTTAAAAAAATGACATAAGTGGCAGAAAAGCTTTAGCCACACTCTTTATTATTGGCTGATTCATTTGATTTTATCAATAGAATTCTTACTATGGACAAAATCTGATTAAAATCAGCTCCTTATTAACGCTATACCTTTCAAACAGCCACTCATATGTGTGCTTTCTCAGTTTTAATATAATAATCAGTTCAATAAAAACAAACGGTTTTCTTTAGCTTTCGACGTTTTGTTTTCTTCAGAAAAAATTGACGTTTATAAAATAACAAATGACAAATGACGCAACGTCCGTTTAACTATACTCTAAACAGAACGTTAACGCGGGAATAAAAAACTTTGTCAAATAAATACAGAATCTTTCATGAATATAAATACAGCAATATTACAATTACACATATAATATGGATCTACACATGTGATACAAAATTCTCATAATTAATAATAATAAAAAAACCTTGATATGAGAAAAAACATACTACATGTATACGGTATACCGGCTCAATAATGACAAAGTTATATATTGTACAAAACTTTTGCATTCATACCTTTAGGAGATAATGTGTTAAGCTTATGGATCCAGTATGATTCTTGTAATAAGCGTTCCATATCATCGGAGACAATCTCTATGGGCATAAATTTAAAATCCTTAATACAATGATTAGTTTTATTGAAGTGTTGTAGCGACATTGGTTGAAAATAACGGATCGGAAAAATTGTTGATATCAAACCTATGGCTATTCATGCGTTTAGACACTTGTTGCTTCGTTTGACCAACATATTGCTCTTTACATTTATCACAAGTGACAAGATATATAACATTTTTTTTCGTAGAACAATCAGTATTGTTATTTACACGATAATTATTACCAGGAATATTAGTACTACTAAATATATTGCTTTCAATTAAATAGAGCTGCAATGTGTACATCTACTTCTATTACATTTGGATGAACATTTCACATTTCTGTTATTAGACCTAACATTAGAATTAACGAGAATGTCTTTTAGATTTTTAGGTTTTTAAATGCAACCAAAGGTTTACTTTCATGAAGCTTTTGCACAGAACATTTACTTGAAAGTTTAAGTAAATCCCAATACTTTTTAATGATAATACTAATATTAGGTAAAGTTGGGTTATACTCAACAACAAAGGGAATAACACTACCATCACTTATTTTGTTGTTAGTGCACAGGGCCTCATCTTGTGTTAGACATGAAACCTTACTAAGTGCATTATCAATAAATTGATAGGATAATTTCTTTCTTTGAAGTATGTACGTAAATTCTGTAAAGAATCGTTGAAAACATTTTCGTCAGAAATGATACGGCAATAAGGTTTTCCTTGACTGTACGGAATACCATTTTTACAAGACACTGGGTGACAGGAAGAGTATTCTAAATACTGATGATTATCTGTCTCTTTAACATGTATATCATGTATAATATTGTTTTCGTCTAATGAAACGTTTACATCTAAAAATGATACGAGAGATTTAGAAACGTTCGCTGTAAATTTTATAGATGGATGAAAGTTATTCAAACTATCAATGAAAGCATTCAAATCATCAAGGGAATAACTCCATATGCAAAATATATCGTCAAGAAAACGGAACCATAAACTGGGTTTTAAAGAACGTTGGCTTAAAAAGTCTTTTTCAACAAGTTTACATATTTCATTACATGAAAGTTTTTTTGGGGGATTTCTCTCTAAAAAATGTCTGCAAGATTCTACTCCGTCTGTATGGGGAATGTTAGTATATAGAGATGTAACATCTAACGTAACAAGGTAATGTTCTCCCGACCCAAGAGAAGTGGTTTTCAGTTTGGCAATAAAATCAGAAGTGTCCCTGATATAGGAAGGTAGATTATGAGATTGTGTTAATGGCTTTAAAATGGAATCTAGGTACTTAGAAATATTTTCTGTTCTAGATTTA